GATCAGGGCTTCTCTCTCACATGGATATTCTTCTCTCTCTCTTTCTCTCTCACCTCCTCTCTCTAAGCATGTCCTTAGTTGAGGATTAAAAAAAAAAAAAGAGTATGCTAACCAACACATAAATGTCAGCCACCCATATTGGAAAACTAGATCAATAGTTATACCTCAGTTCTTTGCAATGACTGAAGTTTAATCCCAGGTCTTACCATCCAGGTGATGTCATGCATGAATATAGTAATAGTCTTGCTGAGTTTCACTGTGACTTCCAACAGTGAAGCAGCCACTTGAAGGTGTTAGTAGCTTAAAGATCAAAGAATTTGTTAGTTTTTTTTTTTTAGCTGCTGGGGTCTCCTCAGAGGCTAACTCCACCCCACATTCTACATAAGAATTTGCAAAGAGCTTTGGTTATCTCTGAGGTTGGATGTGTATTGTGCTGAAGTATTAAAGGGGTGACCCCAGCCCCTGGTTCACTTGCTGAGAGGGGTGGTTCACCTCTTGATCCATTATAAATGTACCGTTGTTTCAATTGCTTGAAATTGGGCTATAAAAACAATGCTGTTCTGTAGAAAGATACTGAAGGAGGAGTCTGAAAATCTGTCTTATGAGATCTGTTTAGAACAAATGGTGTTGTCTGTTAGCATCAGTTGATTTCTCGGTAGAATGTTAATATCTGCCTTCTTAGAAGCCTGTTGTAAATAACATCATATTTGTGAAAGAGTTTTGTTTAAATTGACAGTTTGATTTCTGCATGCAATTTGCATATATAAAACTGTGCAGTATGCAAAGCACCTAAAAGACTTTAATTATATTTATGGTATTTGCTGCAAACATGATTTTTTAAAGAGCAAATTAGGTTCCTAAGAAGGAACTATTATACACATTCAGTCAACTAGAAGTGAAGTACTAAGTGTGTTACTGCTTCTTACTATTTTGGTGTTGGTATTTCTGAAGGGAAGGCAGGCATATAGAATGGGATTTTATATAAAAGGAAATTTGATATATCTGACTTTTTGTGTGTGTGAATGAAAACAAAATTTGAATTTTCCTCCTTAACACTGAAAACTGGGTGGCTCGATAAAAAAGCAGATTTATTGGGGCTAATGTCTGTGTTACCAGAGCAAGTCAAGGGCTCCATGACCCTTTGGAGGGAAGTCACTGGTTAGTAATTGGGTAATTTGGTCAAAATAACAGCAACAAAAGCGATGGCAGGAGCAGCTCCTGCTTCAATTCTTATTGCTCAGTAAAATCAGAGCATTTTCTCCCAGACTGGAGAAAAAACTGACCCAGAGATGAATAAACTTGCCCCAAACCTCATGGTTGAGCCGAAATATGAAACGAATTCCACCTAGCTCAAACTCTGTGCTCTTTCCATGGCACCCTCCAACCGAGCCGGTTGTGAGAACAACTGACATTTATCAAGGAGACAGAAATAGTTCGTTACAATATGCAGCACTATAAAACATTTTTGATCATTGCATGAAATGCACATGGTCTAAAGTATGTTATTAATAATTCACTCACTGCCAAGGTTTTAAGTGAAATCGGTGCCCAACCTCAGAAGGAACGGCCAAGGTTTGCAATGGGAGCCCAGTGAGTATTTTCCAAAACTGTATTTTGATTAACAGTGAAAGATATTAAAAGGTGTTGAAAACATGACTTTTAATTGTAATGGAGTTGAGTGTCTCAAGGACATGAAAGGCTCTGATGTTTTGTTTCCCCATCTCCCTCCAGTGGAAACAGTCATTGTGATTACAATTATTGCTATCTAGGCTTTTAATGATCAAGATCAAGTGTTGGCTAGTGCCTTAAAAGGGGCAATAGCGCTCAGCTTAGAGCGGCATGCTACATGTGGCCCTAAACTTTGGTTTTACATGGTACCCTGAGGAAAGAGACTCAAGAGTACATCATAGTGAAATGGGATATCTTTCTGAAGTCTCCCAGCCAGAGCAACCGCTTACCGAGTATCTAAAGTGTAATTAGACTGCCCTCTCCTGGTTGCATGGAAGAACAGCTAAAATAAAAGTTAGGAAAGAAAGTTTTACATTGCATGCTCTTTGGCCATCCTGAATTTAATAAAAATGGCAATTACCAAGTGACCAAAACTGAAAAACAGCTTAATTCATGTTGGGTCTAATAAAGAAGAAAGAGATAATACCCCAAAGCACTTGTAAAATGTAACTAGCACGTATTAACAGAAGCCAGGGAGCACCGATGGGATTGGATTTTAAGGATGCTTGATCGAGCAAAGAAAAACATAGGAGTGGCTGAGAAAGAATCCCTTACCCCCAGATGGTACACACTCCCAGCTGAACTGCCAAGGAACACAGTGGAAGGAGGAGAGTCCTTGGTTACCACACATACAAACACACACAAAGGCCTAAACGATGACATCTACCATAAATGACTGTTAACATCCTGCTAAAAACTTCTTTGGGAGGAAAGAAGGGTCATCTTTTTCGATGTATGAAATATGTAAAATCTGGGAAAACTGAGGGCTACCTAGTCATTAAGCCTGGACTTCAGAGCTAGAATGCTGGGGTTTAAAGTCCAGCTTTCCCACTTGCTAGGGACATGACCCTGGGTGTTTAAGGTCTGTGTTTTACTTCTGCCATCTTTAAAATGAGATATAGATGACGGTATCTACCCCATAGAATTGCTATGATGGGGGTTCAATGAGCTAATTGTTGAAAAAGATTGCTGAGAAGACTGCCAGGCATATATTAAGCATTACATAAACACTTTTTAAATAAAGTACAGTACAATTGAAACTTCCTTTGTAATATTACTTCCAATGACTCACCTCTTTGACCTTTATTAAAGAAAAAAGATTTACTGACATTTCCTGAGAGACTATCTTTTACATTGAAATGTTTAAAGCAGAACTCTTTTATCTATTATGAGACTAGAAGTTCCAAATCTGTCAAGTTTACATCAAACCTTTAACTGAATTTCAAAGTGAGTTGAATAAAAAAATAGATGACCAAAAAAGATTATCAAATGAATACTTTATTAGCATCATAACACTTATAAAATAAATTTCTTTTCATCATGGAGTTACCAGATTTCAAAACCAACCAACACTTTCCCATTTTTACAGCTAAGATATAGAAAGAAATTGTCAAATGCCATAATTTTTGTTCAAGTGCTTTGCCACTCAACTCACAAATCTAGAACATGATTAATCTGCAAACTGAAGTCTTCACAGTTAGACGAGTTTTAGGCTTGGTTCTTCATGACTGAGAAGCAATCCATTTACAAAGTGCCATCAAGCAGTTTTGTGAAATCATTTAAGTTAATGCCAGCAAGCACGGATCGCTCATATTCTGGAAACAAAATAAATCTCACGACTAAACATAGTAGACTAATTAGACAATTCCTACCAAAATGGACTATATATCCTTATGGCACATTTATGACTTAGTAATATACAGTTCATAATACAGATGTAAGTGGGGGGTATGGCGCTAGAAAACCAAGGAAGTCGATATGACAGAAAAGATCGGCATGAGCATAAAGTCCTATGACTGATATCCTCTTGCCACATATTGAAACATGTCTTTTATCTTTATAATGACATCACAAACAGGCTAATAAGATTCTTCCTTCTAGGGGATTATGACACAAACAGCATTTGACCCTTGAGCACTGATCATGCTCCTCCTTCAGGGCTGTTCCATGCTCCATGGAATCTAATAGCCCGGCTTGTCCATGGCACTGTTAGGGGGTGATACAGCCACAAGAAGCAAAGGGTTGAAAGTGCAGAACAATCACAGAGTCCTCTTTTCCCAGAAGTAGCTCTCTCTGGGCAAGAGGTGAGTATCTTGTTTGAACAGTGTGGGGGGAGCTGGGGCCTAACTTCTCCCACTCAAGCCATTGGCACCTTTCCACAAGCAGGGTCTCCACAGGAGGTTACAACACTTTCCTGTGCTATTCAACCAGACACAGTTTTTGTGATGGGTGTTGTTTTAAAATGGATTCTGTGCATCTGTCACCAATGCAGAAACATAGATCTCAGGGCTATTATCAACACATGTAAGAATCCACAACTTCTAGTTATATTTAATAATCTGTTCAGATTCAACTTAGAAAGTAATGTCAAATAATTAGAAGTAAAAAGTTAACTCTTTGGAGAGCTTGATTTGGTAAAGCCTCACATATCCACACACAGATATTCATATATTTATGCACAGGGCAAACAACTGTACTCTGAAGCATAAATAAATCCAAAGTCAGACACAAGCAGCTGGGTACCAATCCCAGTCGTGGTTAATGGTCTCTGGAGATCTCATTTTAAGGATGCCAGATAAGAGTTTTGCTCAGGTATTAGGAGACCCTAAGTTGGATTAAGCAACTAGGGTTCACTTCATAGATCATTTTTTCCTACACTCAAGACTCTGCTTGAATTAGCTTGAGAAACTATTCGCCCCTTCAAGGGTATCTAGTAACACAAAGGCAGTGTGATTATTGCATAAGGAGACTAAATATTATGTGGTTTGTCTAAGTAGCTTTATACCTTTCGGGATCAGTTCAATAAAACACAGAACACATAACTAAGGTTTCACACCAGGCGTCGGAGAGCTATAGCTTGCAGTCCACAGGCCTACTCCAGCCTACTGCCTACTTTTGTAAATAAAGTTTTAATGGAACACATCTACACTCATTCATTTACATATTGTTTATGGCTGCTTTCATGTAGCAACAACAGAGGTGAGTAGTTGTGACAGAGACTATATGGGCCACAAAGCCTAAAATATTTACCATTTGGGCCATGAAAGAAAAAGGGTGCCCATTTCTGTTTTATACTAAAAGATAGAGTTCAGTGGGAAGCCTATGTGAAATGTTATTTTTTAGGGAGTTTTAGTTACCTATTAAAATTAAGGTTCACATGACTTAGCAACTAAACAAAAGAGATACCTTTTCTTCATAAACAATATCTATGTATTTTCTGGATATAAAAGAAATTTTTCTTTAAAGAAGAAAATGAAAAAAAGAGACTGATGTAAAATTAAAGGCCATTTTGATGTTTAATATCATAATAAAATTAAAATTCTATCCTTGAAATAAACCAAAACTGTATTTAGAATCTCCCCATATACTAAACTTCAGACTCTTGCTATATCTGGACAAAATGGTACCCAAATTGATCAGACACAGGAAGTAGACAAATAAAACACACAGTCAGTTTCTAAGGAGTGTTACGGTCGCCACCTTCGTAAAGCCAGACCCAAACTGCAACCATAACAAGCTGTCGTCACAAAGGCAAAAATCTAAGAAAAAAGAAACAAAAATTCTCATCAGATTGATAACATTGACTTGAAGAAAACACTTGTTCTTACAATCATCTGAAGACTAACCAATGTACCCTAACCAACTTACCTAAAAATACTTCCACACTTATGAAAACCGTTTATATTCATCTTTTTTTTTTTTTTTGGTAATTCGTACTGCTGTTTTATCTCCTCACACCACTGACCTTTTAAAGATTCTAGTCGCTAATAATTTTCTCATTTGTAGACGGCTTTAGGTTGAACATTTGTTCACATAATGGAATCACTTGTTAAGTGTTTGTGACACACCACATGGTATTCAAAAATTCATTATGAGTATCTATTCATACAGTGATCTCACAGCCAAGGGAAGTGCAACCATCAGGACCTGAGGATGGAGCCGATCATTTCTGTGACCCAAGATAACCCATAGGAATAAATCCTCACACTGGCATGGGACATAGTCCTCAAATCTGCTCTGAGCTCTGATTTTCTGTCCTTAATATTCGACAAGGATTTCTTTAGCACCAACTATGTGTACATCAGTACGTTTGGTACATACAAAGAATAGATACTGTCCTGACCATTTGGGGGGTTTATGATCTATAGAAAACTATAAGACAAAGCAAGTAAATACAATAAAGAATTATTTAGGGCAGGGATCTTTTACCAGGAAACTACAGCTCGGAGAAGGGGTACCAGATTAACCTACAGAACACTTTCACAGTGTGATTACCATTCTCCTGTCCTCCCCACCCGTCTGCTGGTTGTCTCCCTGGTACATCTCTAAACTAGACACGGCTGAATGAGGATGACCACTTCTGATATCTGTTATTAGCGAGCAGGAATTTCTCTCTCAGGTATATTGAAACAAAAAGAAATGTCACAAATGAGCGGCTCATGCATTTAAGTATTATTGAAACTCAGAGTACACTGGAGTGTGTGGATGAAATGGGACTCAAGGTGGCACTTCAAGCACTTAGAGGTTTGCTAAGGCAGCTTCACTTAGGAAGAGAGAGAAAGGGAAGGGTAACAGGAACTCAGTCACAGAACAGACTCACACTGAAGAACACTGGACACTGAGCTCTCAGGGCAAAGGAATGTTAGTGAACAGTTAGTGATACCCACCGCCTGTCATCAAGTACTTGAGCACTTAGGATTCTTATGAAAGTGGGATCTTAGGGCAACTACAAATAAATCAATGTGGGGCTACTTCATAGATCCAAGAGAATGAGAATCTAGCCTGCACCACTGAAAAGAAGGGGAAGGGAGCAGCGAAGGAAAATCTATTGGGAATAGATGACTAGTAGGAAGAACACTTGGTAGGGGAAAAATATGCTGTCAATTCTAAGCCCTTGAACTTCTCTTTGTAAAACTGTTAAGCCAGTGGTTTCCTAACTGTGATCTTTGGATCACAAGTATCCTATGAAAGCATCTCAGAGATGATGAAGTGCACAGAGGCGGCTTTACGAGAAGGAAGGATGGGCATCTTTCAAGACCCCCTTCCCCCACTTCAACTAGGGCATGTATGCTTTTACCTTCCACTCTTATTGGGCTTTATGTAAGATTTCATTAAGTAAAACAGTTAAATTTCTTATAAAAGGAAGTATAAAAATCACTGATCTGTAAGCCTTTCAAAGCTAGAACCATGCCTCTTTCTGTTGCAATCCCACCTTTAGTCTAGGTCATTGTAGACCTTGAACAAATTCTGACAATCCTAACAGAAATGTGGGAAACTTAGGACAGTAGGCCTTGGAATCACTGATCCTCTACCCTTCAAAATCCAGACTCTTGACCTGTGCTGCCCGATATAGCAGCTACTAGCCACATGTAGCTATTTAAACTTAAATTAATTAAAATAAATGAATTAATTAACGAGTAGGAACCATAGTAGACAGTGTATATATAAAACATTTCCATCATTTGAGAAAGTTCTATGGGACAGCATTGCTCCAGACATATTTTAATGGCTATATGGGAAGTCTTGGACAGTTTATATGCTATCTGTATAAAAATATTACAATCAACCATTTGCAATATAGTCATATTAATTATCAAGAGATTTCAGGGAATAATTTAGATGTCTGACACCTTAAAATTATCTATAAAAACAGAAATACTGTATCATTTATTCAAATTATCTATGTCAATATAAAATGATAAACGCACTTAAATATATGAATTAAGGATAAAAAAATTCAAAAAATGTCCCCATGGAAGGCATTTTATCTCTATACCGCCTATTGTAATGGCTACTATGTTTACCTCCCCACTCACCTGGACTCTCCTCAGTGACAGGAACTGTGCCTAATGCACCCCTGTCCCCAACACCCAGCAAATGGCCTGCCTCATGGTAGGCTCTCAGTGAATATTCACTGCATTCAAATGAATTAAAAATAGGTACTGGACACTGAAGAACGTATCTCCCTTACCACGTCTGAAGTTACAAGAAGTAAAAGGCACAATTAATTCTTTCTACAAAGTAGACTTTGTTGTGTAAGGCCTACCACTGCCACTGACCACTATAATCTTACATGACTGTCAACCTCTTTGTGCTTCAGTTTCACCATCCACAACACTAGGGGTAACAACAGCACTTTGCTCATAAGGTTATTGTACAGATAAATGGCTAGTATATGTTTAATGCTAACAGATATTATTAAAGAAAACTATTGTTGCCTGAGGAGTTACTTGGAGACCTTGACAGTAGAAGGAAAGTGTGGGTAAGGTGTAGTCTTCAAACACTTACTGTAGCTGCTACGTTTATGTTATACTGGTTATTATTCAAGAGCGGCTGCACAACCATGGTTGTATTGCAATGCAGATCGTGCAGGGAGGTGGCTGCTGCTTCCAGTAAAAAGGCTCCAAAGTAGAAGACGAACACTGTAAAGTGGTAAGCAAAATCCTGAAAGAGGAGGGAAAAAAGAGACGTCTACAATTAAAAATAATAATATATATTTTTTCTGTTCCTTATTTCAAATGATGAAGTTTAGGTTCAGGAAGATAAGAGCATTTAATCAATCTTGAACTATATCAGCCATTTCTTTTGGCTGCTTTAGCAATGCCAAGCTATTAGAATCCAAATGAAAATTAAACTGGCCCAATGTAATTGGCACCTTGTAAGTGGCAAACCTTCTAACCTACTGAGTTTTATAATAAAGCATATAATTTTCATTTATATTAAAGTGCCCCAGAGATCAATATTAATGAACATAACATAAAAAGGAATAACATATGCTGCCCTTAAAATTTAAGTAGAATAGCATTTAAGTTACATCTTGTTATTATAGTAGTTATACAATAGCTATATTACTGTGATGTATTATACAGTTAGATACAGAACACCTGTGAAATCACAGAATTCAATAACATATCTCCCAACATTCTTAAAAAACAAGTAATAAAGTCATATACTTCTACAAAAAGTATAAGAAATTTTCATACAAAACTCAACTGTTAGGTTACTGGTGGCATTAATGTAAAGCATAACTCTATTAAAATTCACATCATTTTACCCGAATTAATGTATCAACACATTGCTTTGTATTTTTGTTACGAGTTCCCAACACAAGGTACTTTACATTCACTGTCATTCATCCTTACTACCTCTATTTATTATCCCCAGTTTACAAATAAGAAATTTCTTCTTTTTTTTTTAGTTAAGTGACTATCTCAAAGCCACACAAAGATGAACTTTGGGAGGGAAAACTGAAGCCTACATAGGTCTGTCTGGTTCCAGAGTCCACTTTTTATTTACTTAGTACATATTATATTTTTATTTCGTCATTTCTACCAACATGAGAAATCTTGGGGAAAAATACTAAAGACATCTATCAACCATGTTAATTTTATCTCAAGATCAATAAAAGCTAGAAGCTATAAATATTTTAGTTAATATCCACAACACATACTTCTAGAAAGTTAATTCTTAATCAAAATGCACTCTTGTTTCTTTCATGAATGGTATATAGACAACATTAAACCGTTATCACAGGGGGAAACAATTATTTTTTTCAGCAATTAATGTCTAACAGTTCCAGAAGGTAGCAATTCAAAATTGTTACCATCTGGTGGCAACGCTATGATATGCATGGCTCAACAATTTCCCTGGCTAAGAGTGTACATAATATATTACAAAACCTATCAAAAGTGACCACGTGGTCAAAAATGCAGAGTATGTTGAAAATCTCAAAAGAGGAGGGGAAAAAAGAGCCATTTCTAAACATGGCAAGGATTTAGGTATGGACTAATCCAGCTAAAAAAACAAACAACAAAAACCCAAAAACAAAAAACAGGATAAACTTTGCAGGTGACTTACAGAACAGACTGGTAGATCTTTCTAATTTCTTAGGAAACCTCATAAATTAAAAAGGATATGATTGACTGTATTCAATACCAATAATAAGACTCAATATAAAAAGGATGTTACTGGAAAAATATTTAAACATTGATGAGGAATGTGCTTTAGCCAGTTAGAAAGAAAGCTGGACCCTGCAGGATCCTGGAGACTCACTACTTCTCCAATAATTAACCCTCTCATTGCTGGGCTAGTAGCAGGTCTAGGAAGGTCCCAGAGGACAGGCCAGGGTGATGAAAGCCACCACCATTGGGAAAAGGCAGTAGGTTGAGGCAATGACTGTGTATTAGCTGGTACCGAAGCATCCTGTAGGGCTCTACTGGTCCACACTGGTCAAATACCATCTTTGAGCCCGATCCTAAATAGCCTGGTGGTGCTTACCAATATTAGGACTGACTGATCCATTCATACATATTATGGGAAAACCAGGAGTTTAGAAAGAGATTAGGCATCTACTGTAACTTAAATAGGGACCTTTGATCTCCATCACTTGACCAATTACTGGAAATATTTTCTCATCACTAGTGAGAAATCAAAGCAAAAGGTAAGAGCACACTGTACCAGCAACCTAAGAACTCTCAAAGACTCCCACTGCAAGCCTCTGCGCGTCTAAGGAATGGCGATGATTACTGATCCCTTCCTGTGGGCCAGACACAAAGTGGTGCACTGTATAATACATTAATTCCGTTAGTCCTTAACAGCATCTGTAAGGCAGGTATGATTATCACCACTTTACAGAAGAAGAAACCGAAATTCACAGAGGGTCACTATTTTCCCCGAGGTTACACACTTACCAAGCAAACCAGACCTAACCTGGAAGCCTGTGTGTGACTGTGACCACTGCACCACTTCCCCGAGCTTTACACCAACCCCTGACAGTTGATAACATTTGGGAAGACAGCCCTCCTCATGCTCTACAAGTAAGACAAGAACAAATAATTTTCCTCTAACAGCTGTCCTAAAGCTGCTGAGTAAAATGCGATTATACTTGAAAGGGACACATACAACGCCTGATTAAAGGCCTGACTTATGCTTCTAAACACTGATGTGTGATGGAAACCAAAGGGGGGGCTCGTCACGAACCTGGTTAGAGCGCTGTCCACCATGAACTGGAAATTGTGCTCTACTAGGCCATTTTGAGATAGGCCCAGAGAATTCATAACCACAAGCATGTTACATAAAAAGGGGGCATAGTTGATCCAATTTAATGGTGTCATAATTCTAAGAATCGTGCTGGCTGCAAGTTCATTTCTTAAAACTTACCAGTTCTTGACCTTTTAGGACAGGAACTGAAAATGCAGGCACTATTTCATTTTATTGTGCTTTTGCTTGATTGAGCTTCTCAGATATTGCGCTTTTTACAAATTGGAGATTGTGGCAACCCTGAGCTGAGTATTTTGGCACTACTTTCCTAACAGCATTTGCTCCCCTTGTATCTCTGTCACATTTTGGTAATTTTCACAATATTTCAAACTTTTTCATTATTATTATATTCATTATATATAGAGAAAAACATGGATTGGCTGCCACCTGCACGCCCCCTGCCGGGGATCAAGCCCACAATCTGGGCATGTGCCCTGACTGGGTATCGACCTGGCAACCTTTCGGTGCGTGGGACAACGCTCAACCAACTGAGCCACACTGGACAGGGCAAGGTCGGTGATTTTTGATGTTACTATTGTAATCGTTTCGGGGTGCTGTAAACTGCACCCGTAGAAGATGGCAGACTTCATAAATGTGTGCTCTGCTCTGGCTCTTCCCTGCTCTCTCCATCCTCTGGCCTCCCTTTTCCATGAGACACAATAATATTGAAATTAGGCCAATTAAAGTATTTTTTAATTAAAGTATGTACGTCCTTTTTTAGATATAATGCTACTGCACACTAAACAGACTACAGTATAGTGTAAACATAACTTTTATATGCCCCGGGAAACCAAAAGATTTGTGTGACTCGCTTTCCTGTGATAGTCACTTTATGGCGGTGGCCTGGAACCAAACCTGCAGTGTCTCCCAGCTATGCCTGTAAATAGAAAACATCCCTCTTTCTTTTCTAAATACTTGGAGAATAAAATACTTAGCTACCTGTTTTCTGAAAAGAATATATGTATTTAATATCAGAAACGGAAATCAATGGAAAGTTTCAAGATATACGTCATAGGATCTATCAAAGGCACCTGTCCAATAGTTCAATAACTATGATCCAATTTATTTGTTGTATGAACTAAAAACGGTCTTTGAGCAAAGGTCATCTAACTCATAAAGGAGTAACACAAAGATTGCTCAGTTCTATCAACACAGGAATCTCACAAACTGGGTTCCTGCTGTCCAGCAGGGCAGCAAAGCCGGATGCTGCGGTGTGACCTTCTCTCCCCGACACAGGGGTGGGGAATGTACGGCCCATGGGCCATATAGGTCTGGCCCTGCCAAGGCAACCGCAGGTGGGACTTGAAATTTGATAAATCTAGGAGCTTTTTTTCATAGCTATCTTTTAAGCTGATAATTTTGTATGGCCCATGAATGACGTTATAAATATCCAAACAGCCCTTGGCAGAAAAAAGGTTCCCCACCCCTGCGAGAAGCAACGTAGAACAGAGATCAGGCATTTCGGGACAGAATGAGATAGTTTTAAGTTTCCCACATTTTCCTGAAAAAGACTTAAAAATCCCTTACCAGGAAGTTCCAGTTGGCGTCAATCTGAGTCACCATGCCAGAGAGGAACACCCCCAGGAAGAGGAGGGAAAGGGTAAAAGCCGTCACGGACACGAACATGACCCATCCTTGGAGCAGAGGTAGAGGAACATTGGAGGAGGCGACCAAAATCCAGACGAGTCCCCCAAACAGCTAAGGGTGAAAAGAAAAAGGGCGGTAAGTTTGGGCAACAGAATTGAACGTGTGTGTATCACTCTTACCATCACGTCTGCTTCTCCTCAGGTGCCCCCCATTCCTGCACCCCCCATTCTCTTCTCTTTATCATGTGAGATGCCTTCTTCCCTCACGTGCCACCCCAGCGCTTTCCCTCGCGAGCCCGACCCAACTCCACGCCTGTGTCTGCACCTGCCTTCCCGCTGCCTCTGGTGCTCAGCCCATGACCAGGCCCAGGATTCTTTCATCACCTAAAAATATTTCCGTTGACCTCGCTACCTCTCTAACTACTGCCCTCGCTAAGTATTTTCCTTTTCAGTCACCCATTTTTACAAATTCGCCTTTGTTTGTTCTCCAGCTCTTCTTGGTGTTACTCTTCAAGCCGCTGGACGGTGGCTCTGCTCTCACCATGCCTCAGTTTAGCAGCAAAGATCAGCCGTGACTTTCTAGCTTGTCACCTCTAATGGCCATGTTTCAGTCCTTACCAGGACCTAGTTGTACGTGTGAAATTATTGCCTATATATAGAATAAAAGTCTCAGCTGTCGAACATGATAGTAACCAATAAAATCTGCCATCACCTATTGACACTCTCCTATGTGCTAGGCATGGAAATAAGTACTTCAGATATTCATAGGTCTAATTCAATGCACACCTGGTGCCTGTCAGGCACTGTGCTGGGTTCTAGGAATAAAGTAGTAAGCAAGCTACACTTGATCTCTACCATCAGAATTCAGTCTCTTATAGCGAAGTGACAATTAAGCAAGTGATTAAAACGCTGCTTCATACATGTTATCACTGGGCAAAACCTGATTGCTGCAGGTCCACACAATGAGGGCTCTAAATCCAGATTTGGAAAGTCAGAAAATACTCTCTGGAAGCAACAACCCAGAGGACAGGGCTGGGGGGAGTAGGAGGGTGAGAAGAGGCTGTTCCAGGGTAGGAGGTGAGTCTTAGATAACCTGGTGAGAGCTGGAGACTGAGCTGAAGGTCCTGGAGGTCAGGCCAAGGAGTGAACCTCACCCAAGGGCAACGGGAGGCCACAGATCATCTGGAGCAGGAACTAGCAGGGCCAGATTTGCCTTTAGAAGTTTCTCTCTGGCCAGAGTGGGACAGAGACTGGAGAGGAAAGGATGGAGCTGGGGACCACATAGGAGACTGTTCAAACAGAGTATAAACTAGACTCAAGGCACCGAGCACAGAGAGACATGAACAGGTTAAACAAAAATTTTAAAAGTAGACAGGATGGTTGTTGGTGACTGGTCAGATGTGGAACATGACAGCGAAAGATCAGACAAGGAAAATACCCAGATTAATGACTGGGGCAACTAGGAGCGAGTGAGAGAACACACAAGGGGAGAAATGGCCAGGGGGTAAAGACAGTAAGTTTCATGACCCTAACGTCAGGCTCCTCCATACGACCACTGAAGCCACTAAAGCTACACATGCTTTGCACGGCGCGCCGGGCCCTTTACGATCTAGCCTGACTTTTGTATCCCTGTCTCTTACCACTAAGCCTCTCACATTTTACACTATAGGGAAAAAAAAAAAATCCACAGTCCAAAGACAAAGCTCTTTCATGTCTGAGTGGCCCGACACATACCGGCCAGGAATGTCATTCCCTCCCCCACGTGTATTTGAGAAGCTCCCATTCATACCTCATCTCTGACAGCACACGATCCAAAAAGGCGTTCCTGAGCCCCACCGCACGCTTAGGAGCCCGTGCTCCAGGCATGCTCCTTCCTGTGGCAATGGTACACTGATGAGAGACACTGTAACTGAACGTCCCTGGCTTTCAGTCCCACCGCAGTATCAGGCCTGCTTGGCAGCATGCTGCCTGGCGTGTCTGCATCCGAAGCCATTTATTAGTTTGCCTGATATTCCTTTCCAAACCGTCAGTCAGGCACTATGCTACACTTGGAAACACAAAAACCTAGGCTATGTACCTGCCCTAAAGACACCACAGGAAAGTGGGGATCAACCCCACCCCCCACCTGTCTCCTCCCACAGCCTCAGATGATATCACAGAAGCGTGCGTATCTGGCAGCTACAAGGCTCTCACGTATTTGCTTAGTGAACAAATAAACACCCAGCGCCCATACAAGGACAGCTGGAGCTCTAGCTATTAAAAACCAATCATCATCTGTATCTAGATAACAAGTTAAAAACACACGTTTTAATTCAACTTTCTAAAAAAAAAAAAAAAAAAAAAAGGCCCAGTTATATAATTCATTACTACTCTGAAAAACATTTTAAAAAGCATAATAAATGATCACTTGAGCTATGATAACTAAAGCACCAACCTAATACATTTCTAATTGTGGTGGTTTATCTCAAGTCTAATTCCAAGTCAAACATTAACAATCAACCCAGAAAGCTTTATGAAATAAATCTTAGTCATGAATATGAATGCATATTAAAAAATTAAACCACAACCTTTTAGTAGCTATAAAAGACACAGTGATCCCAGTAAAATATTTTCTACTCTTGCACACTGTTTAATAAATATTTGATGGTGATAAGATCTCCAAACCTTTTGTTGTGTTTTCCCTCAGCCTTTTCTTCCTCTTGCACTACAAATAACCTATGTTACTTTAAACACTGTTTAAGAAATAGACATTATTAACTATCTATTAATTCAAGAGTTATTTATTGAGAAGGTATGAGCATCAAGGGCAATAAAGAACAATGGACCATTGTTTATTAGGAGCAGGCAGGCTCAAATAGAACTCAGGCGTAATTATAGGATATAGAAACATAAACTGACACCTCTGAAGAGGGTAGATGATCTCTTGGAATGAAATATAATATTTCATAAACCTGGACAGGACCTCACACGGGCCAGCCTCAAATCTACTGCCAGGCACTACAGGAGGACACTCCAAAAAAGGCCAAAAAAAAAAAAAAAGGCAAGGCTCTGTCTACGGGAGCTCCAAACAAGGGAGAATTAGACACCAGTAAACCTGATTCAGGAGCAGATTGTGGAGAGAGCTAAAAAAAGAGCTCCACACAGTGTGCTCCGGAGGCTGGGAGAGCGAGACTACGCTGGGAGGAGCCTGGGGAGGCAGGCGGGAGGCAGGGTTCGAAGCAGGTGAGGCTAATGTGACGCCCTGTACACGAACTGTTCTTGTCATACTCAAAATTACAGCCCTTCCAACACCTCAAAGGCTTGGAGAGGAAACTCAGTGCTTCCGTGAAAAGAACATATTTACCTCCCCATCTGCGGTGCGTGTGTTGATGGGGTCAGCAGGAAGGAAGGCGTATGAACAAACACACTGCATCCCTAGATCGGAGACCCTGGGGAATCCGGATTTCAGTCCTGCTCCCCACAGCAGCTCTGGAAGGTGGCGGACGGGCCAGAGAACACAACGAACGGAGCCTGCTCTGGAGATCGCCTGCCTCGTGGTCACACTGCCGTCGTCACCAGGGCCCTGACACAATTCTCTCTCCCCTACCTCATGATTTCCTTTTGCCAAAAGCTACCTTTTCTCCCAAGTTTCCCAACCTGGCTCCCACTTTAAAAATCCTTTTAATAGCATTACCAATGTTGGCATATTCTCTTCATCTAATTCTGGGCATTGCTAAGCTCAAGAGTATTTACCAAACACACTGTCACTGTCAGTACCCTGTTAAGTAGACGTGACTCTGGAGGGAGCCTTGTTTTCAGAGATGAACAGCAGAGCACAAACATGGTTAAACTCCGAGGGAGACCAGCTGATCAGGCGTCACGGCGACTGCAGGGAACACACTGCGCAGGGTGGAAGGCCATGCTCGCCCACGCTGCTCTCATCCCGGATTCGGACCACGTTCCCACTTCTTCTCTATCACTGCCTCCCACTGCTCTTTGGTGTCCAAAAAAGTCTGGTTATGTATAAATCCACCCAATGTATCACATTTCTCAGAACTTGTTTTTTCCAGTTTTACTGCGATATAACTGACGTGCAGCGCTCGCTCGCTGTAAGTTTAGTGTACAGCAGAATGACTTGATTTACACTACGAAAGACACCACAGCAAGTGAGCATCCGCCGTCTCATGTCCAACGCATCACCTGAAATTTCTCTCAGGAACGAAGTAGGGGCGCTAGACTCTGCACCTCAAGCTCTACCTGAAAGACGCGCGACCTGCAGGTCATGCAAAGGCAAATGTTTCCTGGAAGTAGCTCTCAGCCTCCCGGGTGGCTGTCACCCCTGACCTTCCAAGCTCTGCTCTAAAGTACCTGGGCACACCTCAAGTGCTCAAATATATTCTGGGGGCAGATATTAAATTGCTACATCCCTAAAACAACGCTCTCCTTTGTGGCTTCTCCCTTTAGTTTGGCACCCCCGGGCCAGAAGGGTGAGACCTGGCCGAGGCCTTCCCACAAGCAAACCGTGGAAGTTCTCGTCTGTACATCGCACTGACCCGAACCCTCAGAGTTGGAGTTAACACACGCTCTCACTAAAAACTGTGGGCTGGTAAAAACGCACGAGCCCAGGGGAAACCCAGGGCATTGAGCAAACAGCAGCTCCTGTGATTCTGGCTGCGAGGACTACAGGCTTCTCAACTTGTCTCCTACTTGGATGGCCTTCTTATGTCCCCAAAGGATTCTCTTTGCAAATACCCTTTTTCTTTTCAAATGTCACTTATTTCCTAACGGCCTGCTTTTTTACACATGCCCTCCAACATCTCAGCTAATAATTTTCAAACCAATCTGACACCTTCGTCTTGGTATACTCGTATTAATCATTACGTAAACAGGCCGATTCCGACTCTGACCTACTTCCAGTCAGTGTTTGGAATGAGAACAGGGGACGGTAAGTGAAGGTGGAGGTATGAAGGACTGTTCAGCTGCCCCTGAGGAGAAATACTTCTTTATTTAGAACATTCTGTATATAACACAGAAGCGTCTCTTTCCAATTCTCCTACTGCTTACATGGTGGGTATTTCATCACTTTATAGCAGTGACGATCAACACGCCAGCAAGCCTCAGAGGAAAAAGATACAATCTCGCAGCC